TTTGTAATTAAGCTAGATGTATTTTATTTATTTTATAAATCAGTGCTTATTCACAAAAATTAATTCCATAAAAATCATAACTAAGATTTTTGGAGAAACCTATTTTATAGAAATTTGCTTAAGAGATCCAACTTTTATGAAATTCAATTATGAGATTTCTTGGTTATTATTTGGTGTAGAGTGGCATGTGCGTAAACATTGTTTTAAAAACTTGGTTATTATAATGAACAAGTCACCAATAAAACAATATTGATGAAATTTATTATTATAATATCAATATTATCTAAACCCCATTTAATTAATACTAAAATTAAATAAGAATATAAACATCATAAAATTTAGAGTAGAATTTTTAAATCAAATGAAGCTTTATAAGAATATTTTTTTAAAAAAAAAAATTCAACATTTCTTGTATTGTCCGGTATGTTGTGGTATTATCGGTATTTTCGAACTGAAATCAGTACAACCTAGCAATTTGATAAAAATTGTGGTTAATAAGCATATCAGTCAGAACTAGAAGTGCAAACGATCCGAGCGACTCACAAGCTTCTCGCGAGCGCTCGAGCCAGATCAAACTCGAGCTCGAGCAGTCAATTGAGCAAATGAGTCTAGCTTCAAACACCAGGTTTGGCTTTTTATTTACATAAATATCCTATATAAATTAACAGTGTGACTTTTTATTTACATAAATTTCCTATATATATAATTTAATTATCAATATTTGAACACCATGATTTATAAATTAATATACATTTATAAATAATTGTGAATATATATATATATATATATATGGATGGTTCCAATGCATCCACATTCTTAAAGTGAGGACTTGAGGCTCATTTCTAGTCACAAGATTTGGTACATAATGAGTGGCTAAGATTTAATCTTTTCTTTTTATTATTTTAATTATTTAAATATGATTTTGACCCGTTGACTCTGGTGTTGACTGTTGACTTCCGGCGTTGACCGTTGACTCCGGCGTAGACTTCCGGTGAAAATCCGTTGACTTCCGGCGAAAAATCGTTGACTTCCGGCATTGACCGTTGACTTCCGGCATTGACCGTTGACTTCCGGCGTTGACCGTTGACAACTAAACTTGCAATTAAATATAAATAACCTAGCATGCTAGGTTAATTGTCTGATGGTGCTAGATTAGTTGTATGATTATGCTAGGTTAGTTATATATCTCTGCTATGTTAGTTTTATCATGTTGCAATGTTAGTTGTATGGTGTTGCTATGTTAGCTTTATGTTGGTGCTAGGTTAGTAATATATCTCTGCTAGGTTAGTCTTATCATGTTGCAATGTTAGTTGTATGGTGTTGCTATGTTTTTTTTTTATTTTATTCTTTTTTATTTTTTTTATTTTTTTATTTTTTTTTGTTGCTATGTTAGCTTTATGTCGGTGCTAGGTTAGTTTTATCATGTTGCAATGTTAGTTGTATTGTGTTGCTATAATAGCTTTATGTTCGTGCTAGGTTTGTTATATATATCTCTGCTAGATTAGTTTTATCATGTTGCAATGTTAGTTGTATGGTGTTGCTATGTTAGCTTTATGTTGGTGCTAGATTAGTAATATATATCTGCTAGATTAGTCTTATCATGTTGCAATGTTAGTTGTATGGTGTTGCTATGTTTTTTTTTTATTTTATTACTATTATTATTTTTTATTTATTTATTTTTTTTTTGTTGCTATGTTAGCTTTATGTTGGTGCTAGGTTAGTTTTATCATGTTGCAATGT